CATGGGACAGCCCCTTCCTGGACCTTTATATGAACAAGGGTAGATGCAAGTGAGGGTGGGCGGAAGGAGTACAAAAGACCAGTTGTGATGCTGGTATATACGCGTGGCCACGACGGTCATCCTGTCAAGTTGGCCAGTCCAAATCGGCGGCGAGGAGGAGGTGTTCAGAGTTGAAGCGGGGCATAACATCAGGACGTTTTCGTCCCGGACCCAGGCGAGATATTTCAGTGTCGGATTAGACGTTCGAGGCGCCGAGCGAAGTGTCGCGAAAAAAACGGGCGAGTCTCGAGAATGTAAAGCATTAGAGCGCTGCGGCAGTGAGAAGCGGCCTGTCTGGGGCGAAGGCGGCGGGCTGGGGCGCGGCGGTGGCGGCGAGGGTGGCGGCGGGCTCGGAGGCGTGGGCGCGGCTGCCGTCGCGGCGCATCGACTCGGACTCGCGCAGGATCTTGCGCAGCGAGCGCGGGATCAGCCCCCACGAGTCGGGGTCGTTGCTCCCCTGCATTGTGTGCGTCTTGCCCGAGCCCGTCTGGCCATACGCGAAGATGCACACCTCGAGGGGCGGAGATTGGACGAGGTCTCAGCCGAGATCAGCCGAGATTGGCAGTGCGAAGAGACGCCACGCCCTCTCGAGGGTGCGTCTCGAGGGGCGGAGGGCGGGAGGGGCGAGTGCGGCGGCCGCTCCGGTGCGCGCATGCGCGCATGCATGCATGGTGGTGGTGGGTATGGGTGGTGGTGGTGTGCGTGTTTGTGTGTGTGTGTGTGTGTGTGTGTGTGTGTGCGTGCGTGTTTGTGTGTTTGTGTGTTTGTGTGTGTGTGTGTGTGTGTGTGTGTGTGTGTGTGTGTGTGTGTGTGTGCGTGCGTGCGTGTGCGTGTGCGTGTGCGTGTGTGTGTGTGCGTGTGTGCGTGTGTGTGTGTGTGTGTGTGTGTGTGTGCACTTGTGACGTGAGATCCCGAGGGACACACACGCAGGCATCAGGGCAGCCGCCTGTAGGCCCTGGGGTCAGAGGTCTTGTGCGCTGCGTGCTTGTTGGGGGGAAGGGAAGGGAAGGGAAGGGAGGGGGAAGGGAAGGGAAGGGAAGAAAGGGGGGGGGGGGGGGCATCGCGCCTTGTAGCCGTCGAGCGCCGACTGGACGAGTCCGTCCACCTCGGCAAAGACTGCCTGCGCCGCAGAGTAAGCCGGGCGTGGTGTGTGCGTGCGTGGTGTTGCGGCGTGCGCGCAGCGTGCGCAGCGTGCGCCGCGGGCAGCGGCGTGGCGTTGAGGAGTTGCGTTGGGGCGTGGTGGCTTTGCGTGGCATGGAGGTGTGCGGCGGCGCCTGTTGCGTCGTGTCGGGCCGAAAGACCTACAGGAAGGTTCCATGAAAGGTCCATGAAAGGTTCCAGGGAAGGTTCCAGGAAGGTTCCAGGAGGGGTCGTGTCGGGCCGAAAGACCTTGTCGAAGTTGAAGTCGTACGTCTCGGCGCCGTGCGAGACGCGCAGCTGGCCGACGTCCACCTACGCGGCGGAGTCACCAGAGGCGCGACTACGGCTGTCGTGCGGTCTCCTCGGAGCGGCGCGTGAGTAAACACGGGCTGTGCGGGGCCAGCTAGGTGGCGGCGTGTCGTCTCGAGTGCTGCTCGAGGGTCAGGGATGCGTGTACAGCCCGCATCGAGCGTCTCGAGTGCTGCTCGGAGGACAGGGATGCGTGCACCGCAGCATCTAGGGCAAGTCAACCGGCTGGATCGCGGACAGCTCGTCGGCAGGTGGCGGCCGCAGCCGGCAGAAGACGCGGATATTGCCCTTGAGCTCCTGCACGGCGTTGTGCAGCGCACGACGCTGCGCCTGCGCGGCGAGAAGAAGGGCCGCTCAGAACAGGCTCTTCTGCGGGCTGCGGCTGCCGCTGGAGCAGAGAGGCGGCGGCGATGGCCGCGGCGGCGGGGTTTGAGGAAAACAGGGCGGCGGCGGCGGCGGCGGCGGCGGCGGGCTGAGAGGAAGTGAGGGCGGCGGTGGCTCGCCGCCCCGCCACTCTTCTCGACGCCACCCCTCTCGGCGCCTCCCTCCCCCGCCTGTCCCGCCCCGCCTGTCCCTCCTCCTCGTTGCTTCCTCTCCGGCGCGCGCCTCTGCGTCAAGCAGCTTTTGGCGCAGCGAGTCGATGTACGCCGTCTGCGCCTCGCTCTGCGTCTCCTTGACGACGACCTCCTGCGTCTTGGACTCGACTTGGCGCGAGAGGTTGTCGACGGTGAGCTTGAGCTCGGTGATGGCCTGTTCGTCGAGAGTCACACTCAAGTGCCGTCTCGTAGTCAACGGCCATAGAAGCGGGCGAGCTCGGCGGGAGGGCGGGAGTGAGGGCGTGCAGTGGTGAGGGGAGGGTAGGAGTGAGGGCGGGCTGTAGTGAAAAGAGGAAGAGCGAGGGCGGGCTGTGGTGAGAGGAGGAAGAGTGAGGGCGGGCTGTGGTGAGGAAGTAAGAGTGAGGGCGGGCTGAGCCTCCATCTGCTGCGCGTTGGACGAGCCATGGTGCTCCTTGTACGAACGGTACTCAACCTCGAGCGTCCGCCTCTCCTACGAAAGGCGAAGGGGGCGGAGGTGACGGCAGAAGGGCTGGGTGGCGGAAGGGCTGGCATCGGCGGCGTTAGGGGTTAAAGGGGGGGGGGGGGGGGGGCCCTTAGGGGGCCGGCAAGGGGGCTGGCTTTGGGGGGGGGGGGGGGGTTTTCGGGGGGCCCCCCCAAAAGTGGCCCCCCCCGTGGCTACGCGAATTGACTTTGCGCCGTGCTCCGATCTGGCTGTCGAGGAGCGCGCGGGCGCTCGCGAGGCCTTCGCGCGTCTCGCCAAGCTCCGAGGCGACCTGCGAGGGGTCGGACTGGCGGGATGAGGACGAGCCGCCAAGCCAGAGAGTGGCAACCTCTCACTTCGAGTGGCACGCGACTCCCTACGCTCTCTCCAGCTCGGACTGCAGCTACTTGAGCACGAGCTGAGGTACTGAGGTACGGGGTGTGGGGAGAGACTGACAGCCGCCAACTGCACCTTGTCCAGCTCGGACTGCTTGAGCTGCAGCGCCGCCGCCTAGACGGGATAGCGTGCCTCGATGACGGCGACACATAGCGGGGGACACCACGCAAGGAGAGGGTGCGAAGGCAGGGGCCGGGGGCGGGGGGCGGGGGGCGGGCAGCCCCTTTGACGTATGCATCTCCGGGTTCTGTCTCTAGTCGCGGAGGGGGGCTCGAAGTTAAGAATCGGTTATGTTTGCAGCGCCGCCGCCTGCTCCGCCGCCCGCGCCGCGTTCAGGTCGCGGTCGGCCTCGGCCCGCTGCAGCGCCGAGGCAGACTCGCCGAGCCGACCGTTGAGAGAGTTGATTTCGCCCTGCGGCGAATTGAAATGAATTGAATTGGCGGCGCGGGGCGCGCGCGGGGGGCACGGCAGTCCGATGGCCCCGCCCGGGCAAAAGGGGAGCGCGGCGGCGGCGGCGGATGTGGCGGCGGCTCAGCGGGGGGAAACGGGGCAGTGGCGGCGGCGCAGCGGGGAGGAGGCGGCGGCGCAGCGGGGAGGAGGCGGCGGCGCAGCGGGGAGGCGGCTCGTCGGAGGCGGCGCGCGGTGCGCTGCAAGCGAGCTGAGGCCTGTCCGAGGCCTGTCCGAGGCCTGTCCGAGGCCTGGCCGAGGCCTGGCCGAGGCCTGTCCGAGGTGTGGCTGAGGCTTTGGTGGCTGGTGACACGCCTGCTGCCGCTCCACCTCGAGTGCGGCCGCTTGGTTGTCGCCGATTAGCTGGCCCTGCGTCTCCCGCAGCCCGCGCACCTCCTCCTCCAGCTTCTCGCCTAGCCGCAGGCGCCGAGGCGCGGTGTGGCCTCGCGAGCCGCGAGGCCGCCGCCTGGCTGGAGAGGCTCGGGGCGCGTACCCCGCTCGCGCTCGTTTTTGACCTAAGGTAAGGTAAGGTAAGGTAAGGCAAGCTCAACTTCTCCACACACACGAGGTGGTGGGGCAAGGGCCGGGCAGCCCCTCGCGTCTCCACGTCTAGACGACAGGAGCCCCACGGCATTCAAAGTGCAAGGCCCAGTGCGCGTGGGTGAGGTGTGTGTTCCTGACCTGCGCGGCGTTGTCAGCCTGGATCTGCATGACGGAGGTGATGCTGGCGCGCAGGTCGGCGTCCTTCTGCGCCAGCTGCGTCGCGGTGGACTCGAGCTCCGCCTGCGAGATCAGCCGAGATCAGCCGAGATCAGCCGAGATCAGCCGGGGTCAGCCGAGATCGTTGCGCTTTGGATGCGGGTGCGGGCGAAGTGTGCACGTGCGGGGCGCGCGGGAAGGGAGTGGCGTCGCGGCCTGCACGCGCGTGAGCGTCGCCTCGGCGACCGCTAGCGTCTCGCACGTCGCCGCATGGCCGGCCTAATGAGAGGATGCAGGGAGTAGTGAGAATGCAGGGAGTAGAATGAGGGAGTGGTGAGATGGCAGCTCTTCAACACCCAAGGAA